GTGGTTCTGGAGAAGAAGATTTTTAAAGATTTTTCCTATATATTCCTATGTAAAACTTGGGTCGGCCATTTTGGCCCCACCCTTGCCCCGGGGGTCATGATTTGTATAAACTTGAATCAACACTACCTGAGGATGATTCCACATGAGTTTCATCTTTCCTGGCCCAGTGGTTCTCGAGGAGAAGATTTTTAAAGATTTTTCCTATATATTCCTATGTAAAACACGGGTCGGCCATTTTGGCCCCACCCTTGCCCCGGGGGTCATGATTTGAACAAACTTGAATCTACACTACCTGAAGATAATTCCACACGAGTTTCATCTTTCCTGGCCCAGTGGATCTTCAGAAGGATTTTTCAAGATATTTCCTATATATTCCTATGTAAAACTAGGGTTGGCCATTTTGGCCCCACCCTTGCCCCGGGGGTCATGATTTGAATAAACTTGAATCTACACTACCTGAGGATGATTCCACATGAGTTTCATCTTTCCTGGCCCAGTGGTTCTGGAGAAGAAGATTTTTAAAGATTTTTCCTATATATTCCTATGTAAAACTTGGGTTGGCCATTTTGGCCCCACCCTTGCCCCGGGGGTCATGATTTGAACAAACTTGAATCTACACTACCTGAGGATGATTCCACATGAGTTTCATCTTTCCTGGCCCAGTGGTTCTGGAGAAGAAGATTTTTAAAGATTTTTCCTATATATTCCTATGTAAAACTTGGGTCGGCCATTTTGGCCCCAACCTTGCCCCGGGGGTCATGATTTGAACAAACTTGAATCTACACTACCTGAGGATGCTTCCACATGAGTTTCATCTTTCCTCGCCCATCGGTTCTGGAGAAGAAGATTTTTTAAAAATGCCATTAATTTTTAACAAATTTATGATTATCTCCCCTTGGAAAAGGGCGTGGCCCTTCATTTGAACAAATTTGAATCCCCTTCACCCAAGAGTACTTTGTACCAAGTTTGGTTGAAATCGGCCCTGTGGTTCTTGAGAAGAAGATGAAAATGTGAAAAGTTTACGACAACGACAACAACGACGACGACAACGACAGACGATGGACAAATTTTGATCAGAAAAGCTCACTTGAGCCTTCGGCTCAGGTGAGCTAAAAAGAGTGACAATTGTTTAAGTTCATTAATTCGTTTCTTCTTTTTTATAATTCTAGTCTTTGATAAGTAGATGTAAAGGTCTATAGGGGGCACTAACAGAGGACAGCTTCAAGCAACTTAGCATTTATCATAATAAAAAGGGGCCAATTTGATTGTTCAAAACTATGAAAATTCTTTCTCTCTCATACATTTTACTGTACTTAAAAATTTCTTGTTTTCATCTGTTTTTTAATTAAGGTTTTCCGTCTTAACGGTAGACCTTATAGCGATTCTATTGTTTCTTATTATTATTATTATTATTATTTTTCTGACGCGATTTCTCAAAGACTACTGGATGGAATTACATGAAATTTTCAGGACAGATGTGTTGTTAAATTGATTTGATACATCTGAGAGATTTTTTGGAAATTCGCTTTCGGTGCCAAGTTATGGACCTTTTTCTGATTTTTAAAATGTCATTTTGTCTACGGATTTTCTCAAGAACAGTAAAAGATATCAATGTGAAACTTTCAGAGATCATAGATGAAGATAAATACTATCCAGGACGCGACATTTCGTTTGTCGTCATTACTTTCGGTCGCCACCGGAAGCCAATGTAAAAAGTCCAATTTTTCAATTTTTTTTGTTTTTCAATATTTTTCGGTTATTTTTGGTATATTAATAGAGACCTTTCTTATAATGCTTACTTTATAATTTGTTTAAGTATTGATAGATCTAAAATCTAGATATTAGCATTTAAAAATCTTAAGCATTCCAAAATGGCCGCTCTATCTGTAAAGTCCGACATTTCGCAATAGGGGTTTAAGGAGGCATCTGAGCGTTTGCTTAAACGAAAGTAACACAAGGACAAATGAAATATAAATTAAAGGAGTACTTGGCACGTCGTAGTTACGTTGCAATTCTGTGTCAAACTAAGTTCTTCTTAAACGTCTTCTATAATTGATTTTGGTTGGTTCTTAAAGTAGAAAAAGAAAAGACTAAATGCGCAAATGAAATTCGATACCTAATATCTTCTGATTGCACCACGGAAAAGCAGATCTCAAATCATTGTTACAAGTAATATTTTTTTCAAAATAGAATATCAATGAATACAGTAAGAAAAAAACTTACCCAATTTTTCCCCATGCACACTTGTGCCATATTAAACTAATAGAAAAGACAAAATAAAATAACCATATTTTTTAGAAGATCGCTTAACGGCGTTTATATTAACATTATTGTCTCAAAGATCTTATTCAAGTTATTGAGCACAAACGGTATCCAATGCCTTGACCGTCGTAAGGTGAACCATTCTTTTTGGCGAAACATTTGAATCTCTTCATGAATCGGGATAGTTGACTTTGGCGATAAACATGAAATTAAAAAAAAAAAGTTAAAATTCATAGCCGCTTCACTGTTTTAGTGTTACTTGCCTAATGCTATATGGAGTTTGTGAAATGTATTAAATATACTTTCTAATCATCAAATTTTAGGCTATATGAACGTTTTTTTTTTTTTTATTTCATTGAAGCTATCACACCTATTAAATAGAACATTACCAAGAAAAGACGCGAAGATTAACTCGTGGCGTTTGGCGTGAAATTATGAATAGTGACTTAGCCTTTCATAATTCTAAGACAAAAGCACTTTATACAGAGGTACTGTATATACAAGAAGATTCAGAGAAGAGGTCCCAATAGCGTACGTTATATTTAGCGCGTTGGATTTTCATTCTGGCGACTTGGATTCAATCCCCCTCTGTGCAATATTTTCAGCTAGATTTTAGGGTTTTTTTCCGAATCGGACGGAAGACCTATCGTTGCTCGCAACGAAATCGTATCTAGTTAACTCATTTATTATTGAAATTTTCAACGTCATACCAGTTATGTAAATACATAATTATATGAATGCTTTGAGTATAGCATAGACATCGAGACTGGGCGAAGGGCCAGGGGAGGGAATGGGGGGCTAAGCCCCCCACTTATTTTGGAAAGATATATACATCGTATAAGCATTGAAAATGCAGCGTACCCTTTTTAGGTTTATTGCTCCCCTCCCCCGTTTGTTACCGACACCTATGTATTGGAAAGATAAAGATTTGGACTGAGGGATCTTATACCCGTCTTCTCCTCTTTTCGACAGGCGTAAATCAATTCATTTTTGAGGTTAGGGTTAGGCTTAGTTTTTTGAAAGATAAATAAGTAAAATAACAAATAAAATCTTTCCATGACTAAAATATGATTTTTTTTTTCAAAGTGCGTTAAGTGTCTCCATGGTAAAATATATTGATGTAGAATCTTAACGCACTTTGAAAATTTTTTTCAAAGTGCGTTGAGTTGGTCCCAAATTTAACGCACTTTGAAAAATTTTTTCAAAGTGCGTTGATATTGTCCCAATTTTAACGCACTTTGAAAAAATTTTTCAAAGTGCGTAATTTTTTCAAAGTGCGTTGCCACAGGGCATAACAATTTTTGTTAAAATTGGTCCTTATGGAGGGTAATCGTGTTCAAAAATCCAGACTTGTAAGTTTGTAATTCCAAACTTGTAAGTTTGTTAATCCAAACTTGTAATCATATCAATTTCATCGTCTACATTTGTAAGTAGGTAATTGCGACATCCAAGTATGTAGTTCCAAACATACAAATGTGTTGACTTTGAGTTTATATATTTTGAATGTGTGTATCTTTGATGTTGTAAACTTTGTTTTCCGGAATTTATATTTCCGCACTAGGAATGAAACACAAAGACAATTCACAACTCTACAAATCTAAAGTCTACATGTTTATCAAATTTTGTTAGTGCAAAACTATGGAGGGGCATAAGTGCCATAAATCTTTTTAAATTTTCTTGTTTTCATTTTTATTTTTTAACTTTTTGTTTTCCAAATTGAATAAATTCTAGAGGCTTCATTTTGATTTTAACTTTCTTTTTATTTTTTCTAGTTTTATTTTATTTTCTTCATTGCTGTAGGAACCAATGTTGGAGGGGGGGGGGGGAGGGTGCCCAAATAATTTTGCCAATATACAGAAAACTATAGAAAATAGTGGCTAAACTTTTGTGACTCCTCAATAAAAACGTCTGAGGACTTTTTTTTCTTCGGTGGTGGGGGGTTAGTTGATAGTGCCCCAACTGAAAATTTATGGCTCCCCCCAACCCTTCAACTGAAATTGTTTCCTACGTGCCTGTTCTTTATTTTACTTGGCAATTTAGCTTTAATTTGTACAAAGTGTATTTTGATTCCATTTGATATTTTGAATCATGTTTCACTATACCTTACTTATTACTATTTTTTGGTAGCAACTATAAGAAGAATGGAAAGTTTGAATAAGATAGTATGACTAAGAATCTGAATAAAATTCAAACAAAAAGAGGTGCTACCGCCTTATTTTAAACAAAGAGGTCTTGCTCAAACAGTCTAGTCTATCAATACAGCATATGACTTTGCTGTTCTTGATAATAATATTTCTTTATAAACATTTTGTTCTTATATATTACTTTGTAATATTTTGAATTTAAATCTTCAATACATGAGGATGCTTAAATTAATATGACTACACACATCTTTTCTGTTCTTGGGATTTATCCCCTTATTTTTCAATGTAAACCTTTGATCCACCAGTGTCAGGCCTCACCCTTCCCTTAGAGGTTATGATTTGAACAAATTTAATTCTACACTACCTGAGAATGCTTCCATATAAATACTAATATCACTAATCATGGCTTTGAAGTACTTGAGAAGATGATTTTTAAAAGATGTCCCTATTACTCCTACGTAAAACTTTGATTTGCCATTTTGGCCCCTTCCTTCCCCCGGGGGTCATGATTTGAAAAAACTTGAATCTACGCTACCTGAGGATGATTCCATGAGTTTCATCTTTCCTGTCTCTATTCTTGCCAAGAAAACGTACCTGTACCTTCGAGGGCTTGTGTACCACTTCCACCATAGAAAGGGGGATGTTGAGCAGACGATCATTGTACCAGAACAGAATTAGAATGAAATTGTCTGATGATTGTTCAGACTGCTGCCAGAACTGGAACCATGAGCTTTAGTCCATTACAGATGGTCCAGATCTGCTTGAAATGGGCAAGCTGGAATATTCATTTGGTCTCTGTTGGGAACATGTCTGCTTGAAATGGGCAAGCTGGAAGATTCATTTGGTCTCTGTTGGGAATACGTCTGCTTGAAATGGGCAAGCTGGAAGATTCATTTGGTCTCTGTTGGGAATATGTCCTGGCTGCAGGGCCTAGAGGGAATGTTCTTGAAGCTGTGAAGTAAAAAGTTCCGTTAACCTATGGGGATGCTAGTGTCCATTGTAACTAATGCCAATAAAGATGTCAGTGGTTTTGTTTGACAGTTTTTTGGCCGCACCCCACTTCAGAACAGCAAATAGTTCACCCCATCTGAAACAATTTTGAACGATGTAAGAGAAAGTCACTGAAAATGAAAGGGAAAACGTTCAGAACATAGTCAATTGTACACTAAAGTACTCCTAGAGAGCTGAGGAATGCATGCTGGCATTAGAGCTAATCTCCTTTGGGGCTCAGAAAATATATCATTCCCATACAGCGAAACAATCAAGGGAAATGTCCCACAGAGCTTTTCTATAGTCAAAATCATAGTCCAATAAGACTGCATGAATTCCCATGCATAGTCATACAACACAAACGACGAAGGGAGGCTGACAAAATGTATGACCATGGTGAAGATTGTGTCCATGGTTAAGGTTGGGAAAAAAACACTGAATCAATTATCTTGACGTACAGTCTTAGTAAGACACAGACACCCCAAAAAATTAAACAAGAGGTCCAAGGGCCTTAACGCTCACCTGATTATAGTACAAAACTGTAAAGGTTCCATAGAAGTATAAAAAAAATTAACTGATACATGAAGCAATGTTGCCCAATAATTTAAACAAGAGGCCCAAGGGCCTTAAAGGTCACCTGAGTATAATAAAACAATTCAGAGGATTCATAGAATATAAAACAAACTGAAAGATGAAGCTTTCCCAAAAGCAAGAGGAATAGGATGATCAGGATCACTGAAATAATTAGTCTAATATTTAATAACAACTCCTAAATCAATTTCCAATCTGCCCCCCATTTGTCACTATCACCAAGACTATAAACGTATTCTATGTGTACATATCAAGGATCGAAGAAGAATGAAATTACCACAGTATTATCGCAAATCTCGCTTGAGAGTATACACTCGGACCAAAATAGCATTGCGTTAAGTGATGACACTATTGGATTTGACAATTGAACAATTTGAATCACGGGTTTCATTTTCTAAAACAAAATTAATTGCTTGATTAGGCCCAATCTCCTGCGGTGTCCATTGCCTGTATAAGTTAAAAAAGTGTCCAACGGCCTAGCCTTATTGTTTGATTGTCTAAAATCATTGTTGACTTTTTGAAAAAGATATATATAAAATCATTTTTTAGCATGTGATATATTCCTTAAACAGACTGTACATGAATATCATTCGATGGCGCACGCTATCCTAAATATGTATTTCTGCCGATTTCCTTATTTATGGCATTTTCCATTTTAAGTGTTTGTTCGCTTTATGTTCTGTGCGACTTTTCAGTACATTAAAATTTTTTTTTCTCTCCATATTTTAGCCATTGAGCTATTCCATTGAGTTGGCAAACACATGCAATGTGGGTATTACAGGAAATCATGTGATTACCCAGCTGATGGCGGAGCACTTGTAATTCAGTGACAAAATATAAATTCATAGGTGGTAAAACATGTAAAACATCGGATTTATTCAAAAGTTTACCGTTTTATTGTCATGACTGTCAAAAATACCATATATTTTAAATGTATATGTGCTACTGCATACCCATTTCAACGGCTGCCATGACAACTAATAAACATGCGACTAGAAAAATCTAAATCCTTGTGCTTTTTTTTTTTTCATGCAGTACACATTTTACTGTTATGGCTAATATTATTCATTAAAAATAATAAATATCACTTATAAGTCTTGTTTAAAATAAATAATGTAACAAAACTTACCAAATCTAAGTATGTTTAACTTTATTGATGTACTGAAGAAAAAAAAAACAAGAAACGGCCATGTTAATGTGCCCAGGGAACATGCACCTATACAAACATGACATGTATCAAGCTACCAGTTCTGAAACATATCTTATTTGAGGATCATTAAACAGATAACCCACACTCACAATAATTTAATAAGGTATTACCTATAGGTCTATTAAATACTTAGTTCAACAGAAACCACTTTTTTGCCGTTTTCTCCAGTTGTTCCATATCTTTCTTGGAAACATTCCATATTTTCGGCTGTACATTTGAGAATGAGGACGGGCCTATAAACAAGAGGCCCAGGGGCCACAGCGCTCACCTGAGGACACTGGCTAGGAAAAAGCACATATCAAATCAGAAGTAAAAGTTTACTGAGATTGGGGGGGGGGGGGTGAATTTTAACCCCCCTAGGGGATCATGATTTGAATAAACTAAAATCTAAATTACCTGAGGATGATTCCATATACATGTAAATATTACTAATCATGGCTTTGAAGTACTTGAAAAGAAGATTTTAAAAGGTTTCCCTACATATTCCTATGTAAAACTTTGATCAGCCATTTTGGCCCCACCCTACCCCCGGGGATCATGATTTGAATAAACTTGAATCTACACTACCTGAGGATGATTACACATGAGTTTCATCTTTCCTGGCCCAGTGGTTCTTGAGAAGAAAATTTTGAAGATTTTTCCTATATATTCCTATGTAAAACCTTGATCGGCCATTTTGGCCCCACCCTACCCCCGGGGGTCATGATTTGAATAAACTTGAATCTACACTACCTGAGAATGATTCCATATGAGTTTCATCTTTCCTGGCCCAATGGTTCTTGAGAAGAAGATTTTTTAAAAAAAATTCTTTATTTCCTATGTAAAACATTTATCAGCCATTTTGGCCCCACCCTGCGCCAGGGGGGTCATGATTTGAATAAACTTGAATCTACACTACATGAGAATGATTCCACTTGAGTTTCATCTTTCCTGGCCCAGTGGTTCTTGAGAAGAAGATTTTTAAAAAACGCCATTAATTTTTCTCTAATTCATAATTATCTCCCCTTGGAAAAGGGCGTGGCCCCTCATTTGAACAAATTGTAATCCTCTTTACCCAAGGATACTTTGTAGCAAGTTTGGTTGAAATTGGCCCAGCAGTTCTTGAGAAGAAGATGAAAATGTGAAAAGTTTACAACGACAACGACTACGACGACAACAACGACAGACAACAGACAAATTTTGATCAGAAAAGCTCACTTGAGCCTTCGGCTCAGGTGAGCTAAAAAGCACCAATGTATCTTTGTTGGATTTTGCAATTGTGTTTCAGTCAGATTCATCAGTGTCATCACTCAATGCATCATAATTTCAGTGGAAGTGTATACTTTCAAGCAAGATTTGGGATAATCCTTCAGTACTAATTTTAACCCTTACATGTCATTTCTCACATTTGCATTTCATGATCTTTGAGGAACATTTTAATAAGTTATTTTTGTCTCATTTTTATTTTGTCTATTATTAACAAGTCTATCTGATCATTAAAACTATGAATTAAGTAGTTTTTGTATAATACAATAAAGAGCAAGAGCCACTTTGGGCCTTATTTTGCCCTGATGATATCTGAAAAATCAAAACCACTCAGTTTAGGTTGCAAATAGTATTCAACACTTGGAGTGTTGGTGACCACGATCTATTAATCATGACGTACTTTTCCCTCTAGTCAATGCATTATGACATCATAAAATGTGTAATTTTCCTCATATTCCCTAAATTCCTTTGAAAATGGCCTAAAGTTGAAGTATAAGATCGTAAGTTGAATCGCAGCTGTCTTTGCATGTGTGTGTTTTGCGACCACGAGACTGTTGCTCAACATGTCTCATGTAATCTTGCAACGTTTCACTATCATTGCTTGATTTATCAGCTTCAATTGCCATGCTTTGCAACAGGTATATATACCGTATATAATTATAAGCATCTTAACTATGTCAACTGAAGAGCGTCGGAAACGGTTATATATATACCCGGCCCTCGGACTCGCACGAACATTCATACTATGGAATGCATGAGCGCACGAGCACGCATGTCCGATCGTTTTGTCGCACGCTCAATCGTCCGATTACCTGATCAGTCATGCAATCCTATCGCATTATCTTACAACACTCGCTTTCATTCTACAACAGTCGCATATAGACACAAGATGCAACGTGAATCTACAGTCAATGGACAAAAGAATTTGTCATTTTAATGGCGTTGCATTGTTTACGTTCAAAACAGGGGTTTTAAATGGAGATTTGTATACTTAAAATTAAAGTTACTTACCTAATATTTGTTCAGATTTCCCTTCATATGGATTACTTCTTTAATCTGATCTGGAATGGATGCGTAGAGGCTGTGGACATATTCCAAGGGGATATTTTCTGACACTTGTCTAATTGCCTCAAACAGCTGATCGCGACTTTTAATAGTTGCGGACATGCCTTTAAGCTCTCTTTTGATCTTCAACCAAATGTTTTCAATCACACATAAATCTGGAGACTGAGCTGGCCAGTCGGTGCAGTTCATATTATTTTCATTCTTTTAGTTTTTCACTACGAGAGCCCTATGTACAGGGGCATTATCGTCTTGGAAAACATAGCCTTTGTTCGGAAAATGTCTGGAAATTACAGGCCATAAATTATTATCAACTACAGTCAATTCTCGAATTATTGCTATTCGATTCATCGCCATTTTCGCAATACCGCCATGATTTCCCAAGAATGTTTTCCTGCTATATAAAATTCTCTTTATAACGCCAAATTCGCATACCGCCATCCGCCACCGTTTTCACAACAAACATCAATTTTTAAGTGTCAATTATCTCGATATACCGCCACAGGTGCATGTGGTCAGTGAAGCGCGGCTAATTAGTTGACGCTATCCCTGTTGTGAAGTATGCAAAGGCAGAAAAGGTACATGCAATTAAGTAATTAAACAAGAATTAAATAAACAAGAATTTTACCATGAACTGTTATAATAATTTTGTTTTCTGTTTAATAAAAAATCATTTAGTCACGGCTTTGCCATGAAAGTGGTCGTTGTTAAAGTACGCTGATAAAGATATTATGTTGATGATCTCTGGTTTAACAGTCATATTTAAACAATGCAAAGTTTGCTGAAAAAAATAATTATACAGTGTAAATTGTGAACGTTTCATTAACATTGATGCCATAAACAATGAATTTATTCAAGAATTCATTTTAAATTACGTACTATCAGCAATATATCACGACGATCAACACAGCATTTTTTTTTCAATATCAGACATGCAGATTTACATGCATACACATGTACTTGATGTCTTTATTTCATTACGGCACATT